ATCTCCATATAAACACCATCGAAGAAGAAGAAGAAAGTTCAGGGCGATCGTCCCCTCAGTGCGACCGTCCCTCCGCGCGATCCTCAGGAAGGTCTGAATACAGTGTCTCCCGTCCCGATCCTGTCCGAGGAGAAGCCGGTAGAAGACATAAGCCTGTGACAGACAGCCAGCTTCCATAGTCCAGAAGGATCGTCGCATACCGTCCTCCGACATAAGGTATAACTGACCGCCAATATAACTCTCTTTGTAAACTCTCACGCGGCATAGTGAATAGTTACAGCTTCCTTATAGATAAATTTATGTTATCCGCATCTAAGCTATAATCAATAACTTGTATACTCCTGTAGATTACTTTAGTTGTAAAATAAACATTTATTTTGTTATTTGTTAAACCTGTCTCCTGTTTATCCGAGGAAACCTGTCGACTTACTGACGCACTCCCCACTCGATTTGCCCTCCTAGCCATCCTACGACTCCGAGATCGGGCTTTACCAGCCTGTGCAGATTAAGTGGTCAGTACGAGATTGACCCCTGACCCACTGCGTGTCTCTAAGACGGACAAACCTGTCTTATACACCCCATTCCTGACACCAATGTGCAGATTAAGTGGTCAGTACGAGATTGACCCCTGACCCACTGCGTGTCTCACACGAATGAATCGTACAAGCAAAAAAAAAAAAAATAATAATAATAAAATAAAGGTCAACAGGTTTCGCAGGATTTCCTTGGATAAAAAAGTTACTAGTTAACCCTGATGGTGAGTCGATTCCTGGACTGTCCGGACTATAGCACTATCGTAGGCGTGATGCAAGTATAGATTAGGATGTTTCAAATTTTTACAATTATTATTTATAGTGAAATTTTGTTGCCCCCAAAAGGTAATTTTGCCGCCCCCTAAAAAGTGCCGCCCGGGGCGGGCCGCTCCTGCCGCCCCCACTACGGTACGCCACTGTGTATTATGCAGGTACAGGAAACTTACGAACATGTATTTCTTCATTGTGTTAAATTTTTAAGTAAGGAAAAGTTAATAACTTCCTTCTGTGAGCAGATGCAAACCTTGAAACTTATCCAAACGGAAAACTTAAAAATTTCGAACCTGAGGCATTTTATAATAATTAAAATGTTTTGTAAAAAATAATGAAAATACGTATTAATTAAATATCGACTGTTCCTAAAGAATTTTAATAATTACAATTAAATTCTTTCAAACTCTCAACAATAATAAAGAAATGCCGGTTCTATTCTTAAACTAAAAAAAGGTTAATATTATAATAAGAAAAATTTTAAGAAAGTTTAATATAATAAGTTAAATATTTACTTTATAAATTAAAATTATGCTGTACCAACATAGCATTATTTTAATTTATAAAGTAAATATTTTCTTGGAAATAAATATATTTGAAAAATGCTCTGTTTAAATAGAGAAATTTTGTACAATTCTTACAAATAATATGTAAAGTAAAACAGGATTTACTACTAAAACGCAGACAGACATTTTCCATTTCAAAAAAAGTTTGCGTGATAAAATATGATTAATTAGTTAATTAATGGATATTAAGTTCTGTGTTTACTAGAAGACAATTTAAAAACAATGGAATGACTAAATTTTCCTCGTGTTACTTTTCAATAATAGAAAATAGGAGTCTTTTTGAATATTTAAATATAAAATTCTAGGAACCGGTTGGTTATCTTTTTTTTTTTTGCAACATTTGCTGGCGCCATTTGTTATGATATTTTATTATTCAAACTTTTATATTTTTAAATAATATAAAATGGCAAAAGGGTTAATTTTGACGATATCGATGGGTTTTATTAAAAATTGTAAATCATAATAAGAAAAGAAATCATCTATTAGTTCGACCCGAACGAAAATACACACGACCCCCGTTATGTTATAATTCTTTCGACCTTTAACACCAGAAACTGAACAGCACCAATCCCCTAAAAAATATGTGTGAGATTAGCAGTGGGCCACGGGTTAATTCCCAAATGAACACTTACTCTGCTACAGGTTTGTAAAATCCGATCTCGACATCGTAGGATGGCTTTTTATCGAGTGGCAAGGGAGGTGAGTAAGTCGGCAGGCGTCCTTGAAGCAGAGATAGGCAAGGAGGCAAAATTAATACTAAGGTTAAATGCGGTTATGCTAAAATATTTACAGAATATGGCGACGAATTTCGCAACTATGTCGCTGACGTAATTTCTAGTTCGAGAGAGAGCGCTTTAACAAAATCTAAATCCTCTAAATACCTCCCGGTAAAAGGGAGAGTTGGCGAATGTCGTCTATATGGAGGAGTGTGGTGTCTTAGGTGTCTTCTTTGCCGGAATCACAGTCCTTGGCATGGAGACCGATGAGAACAAGTACCAAGAATGACTTTCGTGTGCGGACGCGCCTGAGCTTCCGTTGAAATCCCCCTTTTATATCCTTGTGGTGAGAAAGCTGTCACGTGATTGACTTTTATTGACGATGACAGTGCATTTTTCACACCCAAGTGTAAACTTTTCCAGCTAATTGTTATTACAATCGGTGAACTCTGATCTAGTTTCAAATACTTCGGGTTTTTTCCGAAGATATTTACAATTGACATAAAATTTAAATTTTTAAGACTCCCGTAAATATCCGCGGGCTCACATATGCATACTTGCAAAGTTTTAGAAATTTTCGACAAAAAAAACGGGAGTTATTAACCTGTAAACAAAATGAACAATATTGTGTCTTCCACCCACTCTAATATGCATACACACAGAAATAACCCCCAAATTTTTTTTTGCACTTCTCGACGTTTCAAGGTGTTCCGATTCCAAAAATGTAAAAATCTTTGGGGGTCCTTTTTTGATCGATTGCCATACTTTCTCTCTGTTGTATATAACAGCCGGAAAAGTAAAATAGTTATTAATTTACTTATCAGTAATAACGATCGATGTTTTTCTCATTTATCAATCAACATACGTCTATAAGAAAACAATAGAGATTTAGCTTTTAATACTGGCATAGGTACGTAAAATATTGCGTTTTTTATTATTGTTTTCTCTTTCATATTACAAGCATTTGCATTTTTATTCATTTATTACTTATATACAGTTCTGTAGGATAATTAATTAGTTTTCATAAAATTATATAAGTTTCAATTGTTTAAACTTGAATATTATTTCCGTGTCATAGGTCTTTAAATTGGTGACCGATAGATATTAATAGACTCCCCGATGAAGCATGAATTTACACTTTCCCGTTGGCATTTTTTAATAACTGAAGTGTACTGCGCTTGTTTTCGTTTATTGTTTATCTGTTTACTTAGCATATGCTACTTGATGCCATTTAACAATTTATTGTTTAATGATTATAGTTTTACGCAGCTATTTGTCTATTGTCGATGGTAACAATGTTATATTTAATAATATAATAATAATTAAGTTTTTAAATAGCATTTTCTTGTTTCTGTGGATGTAGTCTAATGGACAAATTAACAGAAACCTGACAGAAGATCATACATAATTCAAGAAAAAGTTCTACATATAATCAGCAATTATCTGAACTATAAAATAGCTGAAACTGTTCTTTGAGTCTTATCATCTGATCTTCAACTGAAAATTAAATAATGGTTCTTAATAAAATTGAAGACAAAACTGTCCAAAAAAGGATCATTATTAATTATTTTTTGTGTTCCAAGAATAACACATTTTCGGCGTCGGACCTTTCTTTGTAAGGTGCTTGTCGCCGACATTTTCCAGCGCTAATGCTCTTTGCATTTTCTGCAGAAATATTCTGATATTTTTGAGTAAATATCAAAATTTAAAATAATTACATTGTTTTTTCCTGATTATCGGTTCGTATAGTTTGATGCTCTACGAAAAAACTTTTACTTGTAGATTTCATTTTTAACTCGATAAACCATTAATAATGTAAAAGTTGCATAAACAACGTTATTAGTTCAAATTCAAGACAACGGCTGATAATACGTGAAAGTTTTTTTTGTGAATTTCAAATTAATTTTTGCTGACTTCGTTGTCGTTTTGCCAAAAAATATCAATAAAATTTCCATTGAGAAATTAAATTTATTTAGAAATTTTTAAAGGTACTATTTTCATGATTTATATACGTTAATTGTTCTGTTTTATATACACCACAATATGTACTCCAATGCACGAGTAAATGCATTGAAGTAAATTCGCATAAATGGCCGATATTCGGTTGTTATAGACATAGATAAAATGCGGAAAATTGCTTTATGTAGACTGTCCTGGCAAAACGCCAACCAACGAGCAAACTATTGGAATACAGAATCTCGTGGCCACTTATGAGCATATATACGGTTTTTAGCATTTCCTAAGTAAAAAAATCCCGTATTTTTCCCACATCAAAGTATAAAGTACTCATTCAGGAAATAAGTTTTACTTTTTAAAGAATTAAAACCATCGTTTGTTTCTTGTTAATTATATAAAATACAGTCAAACCTCTAAAAGGCGGACAGTAAAAAAAAAAAAAAATAAATAAAAAGTAGCCGTTCTTTGAACATTATTTTGTATGCGTGTTTATTGAAAAACAAAATTTTAAGGCCCCCTCGATTAAAAGGTTTTTTCATAAATTCGTATGTCAGATAATATTTTAGTAAATTTTATTTGAATATAAATGTGCAACACTCGATGAAAACGTTCTTGACAGAAAAAATAACAGAAACTATTTAACAAACACTAGCTTCAATTGGATAACGTTAAACGCAATCAACCAATCAGACGTAGAACAGAAAGAGGATAAAGCTTAGTTCACACTGAGCGCGATTCGCTAGCGAAAGCAAAAAACAGAGCGAATTACCCGTCAAACAAGTCATGTTTGACGGGTTATTCATTCTGTTTTTCGCTTTTGCTAGCGAATCGCGCTCAATGTGAACTAAGCTAAATCCGTTGCGTTGTGTGACGTCTTAAGCTAAGACGTCACACAACGCAATTACAGTTTACAATAGACTGGTTTTCTATTCAGAATTTTTAATACTTGAGGAAAATATTTTTATACGTGAAAGGTGATTCTTTATTCAATCTGATAGAATCAATCGTCGTAAAGCACTTTACGCTGAATATTACTAGGACAATTCAAGATACTTAATTCAAGATAGCAATGAATAAACAGGTAAAAATCATTCCATTATATCAAGCATTTCACATGTTCGTGCTGCAGTAATTTCAATTTAAAATTTTTAGGTAAGAAGAATCGACACTTCGAAGAAAACGAAATGTTCGTGTCTGACAAACACCGTATCAAGTATAATTGGTCGACTTGGTGTAATAATTAGTCGATATCCCCTTTATTTTGTCATTGCTCCTGTCATACTCTCTGCTTTATTATCAATTGGGCTGATTGGAATTCAAACCAATGACGACACCGATTTTCTCTTTACTGCGGATAGAGGTAAAGTTTTTCATGCCAAACAGTTTATAGATAATACATTTCCTATCAATTCAAATAATTTCGATTTTTTACGTCTTACTAAACGCCCGCTTTTTCCAATGATTTACATAGTAAATGACAGAGAAGGCAACATTTTACGCAAAGAATTCTTAGACGAAATACAAATTGTAGATCAGGTTGTAAAAAATACCACAGCTTCTGTAAATGGAAAGAATATCGTTTATTCGGACGCGTGCCACATTAAAGATGGCAAGTGTTTAGAAAACACTCTTATTGATCTTCTAAACAACTCCAATAATGCTATTCATGAAATATTAAAAATGAAGTATCCTGTCAATATGGATTCTGTAACATACGCGTACAAAATCCTTTCTCTGAATTTAGGAGGGGTGACGACAGACGACAAAGGATATATAAAAGAAGCAAAAGCCGTTCGTTTATTGTATGTACTAGATGAATCGAACGAAAATAAGAAAAAGTGGAATGAAGAATGGACAAAGGCAGTTTATAACAAGTTGAAAGATTATACCTTCGAACATATTAAAACATTTTCCGAACCATTCTCGTCTACGGATTATCAAATAAAACGCATTTCACAGAAATTAGTGTCTTTGATAAGCGTGGCTGTGGTCGTAGTGGTCATTTTCTGCGTGTCGACGAACATGACTAACAATTGGGTGAAGTCGAAACCCTGGTTAGGCGTAGCTAGTGTCGTGTCCGCCGGCCTGGCTGTGGCCACAGCGTTTGGATTATTATCTGCCTGTGGAGTGGAAAATCTTCAGTTGAGTGTCGGCTTACCTTTCCTTATTCTCGGTAAGATAAACCATAAAATACTTTCGAATATCAATACATATTGCTTTAGTAATACATTTTGCCTTGATATATTGAAGCTACGGAAGTGGACGACTCGTTTGTCGTATTGGCTTGTTGGAAGGTAACAGATTGCAATGACAGCGTAGAAAATCGAATGGAACAGACGTATCGCAACGCAGCAGTGTCTATCACCATAACGTCTGTAACGAATTTCTTCTCCTATTGTATTGCCATGACGTCACCATTCCCGGGTATTAGAATATTCTGTTTGTATGCTGCAACAAGCATCTTCTTCAGTTATTTCTTTCAGTTGTTTTTCTTCGGCGGATGTTTAGCATTAAGTGGATACAGAGAAGAGAAGGGTCTTCATCCTTTTACATTTAAACCAGCTTTTGGTAAAAATTTTAAATTTATTAACTTGTATTAGTAATTTCGTGCATAGATTTTCGGATAATAGTTTAAAGTCTAGTGCTATACACTCTTCTCTTTATTGACAGGGCATTTTACTTAAAACATTATATTGATAGAAACTCTAGTTAACTGACTTTATTTAATAAAAACTTTGTTGTAGATTGGAAATTACAAAAATAGTTAATTTAAGTATTATGTATTAAGTGTTTTACTTTGACTCATGACACAGGCGCATAGTCTACGTAGTGAAGTTGACAAAAAACAAAGAAATATGTTAGTAGTGGTTATAATAACTGAATGTGACAAGGTAATAATAAAGATAAAAATATTAGTATTCAAATAAATTACTTAAGAATTCAGGGTTTAGTTGTATTTATATATTTTATACTTAGGTACGACTTTAGGTATAGGTTGTACCGTTTTAGAAACTGGTCGTTCCTTAAGCTTAGTTCACACTGAGCGCGATTCTCTAGTGAAAACAAAAAAAAAAAAAAAAAGCGAATAACACGTCAGAGATGACGTCGTTTCCGGCTAATTTTATCATTTCGCGAATCGCTTCGGAACTGTCGACCTTTTTCGCCACTAATCATATTCTCGCTAGTTGTCACGTGGTTCTTAATGTTTCCAAGATGGTCACACAAACTTCTTCTCGGAGTAGAGTAGATGTCGAAAAATTATTAGAAAAAATCGAAGCTGCTCCATTTTTGTATATTAAAAAGGATCGACGGCATAAAGATTCTAAACTAAAGGAAAATCGGTGAAAGTTGATTGTGGAGGATTTTAATTTGACAGGTGAGTAAATTTTGCATATGGTAGACCTAATTCGGTATAAAGTGAACAGTGCATTCGTATATTATTTTTTATGTAAATATATATTTAGGTTATTAATAAGATTATTTGAGTTTTAAACATATAAAATTTGCTAAGTTAAATAATGACTCAATTCATATTTAATATGAAAAAAATATCAATAACTTCAATATTAATCATAGAGTTTCGGCACTATTTTGATCGCGATACATTTAATTACCAAAACATTCTAAAAATATTTAATAAGAGATAGTTAATAATAACAAATATGATTATTAAACATTAAGGGGTAATTTTTGTAATAATTTAATGTAAATTAAATTAATCAGCTGCAGTCCCCCAAGAATACAATTATAAAAGCCTTTTAAGTAGAATTTAAGACAAATTAACAAGAAGTTTACAAACCTAGCATAGAGAATGGCAAAATACCATTGTATGTTGAATGAATATCTTGTAAAAGTTTAATTGTATTTTATTAAGTATTAAGAAACAACGCTGTTAATTTTAATTGATTATTATTTATAAATATTTTAACATGGAATTTTGTTTTTCTGTTGTTATTATTTTGAAGTTAAAGAAGTAAATTTTTGTTTTTCCAGATGATGTTTTCGCTTGCTTGCAAATGATTGGCTCTTTAAAATTCGCAATCGCTTTTCGCTAATCGCTCAGTGTGAACTAAGCTTTAGTCGTATTAAATTTTTTTATAACTTTCGTTAATTCTATCTAAGAGAGTAGACTGTTATTAATTTTATTGTAATTAATATCAACAATGTTTACACAAGTTTTGAGTAACACATAGAATTTTTATTTCTTTGAGATATCTTACAATTTATATCTACTTTTATTTATGGGGTACGACTTGAGCATTCTTACCCTATAACGATGACAAGATGAGAAAACACAGAACATCGTATAGCATATGTTCAATAGGTAGTTTTATATATATAATTTTTAAAATATCAAAAGAACGGCAAAGTGAGTAATCAAAACACTTTTCCTTCCTTATAGTCTTTGCAATTGTGAGATAAGCAGAGACCACTGGGTAAATCCCTAATGACAACTTACTCTGCACAGGTTGTTAATTAATTAAAACCCGAGCTCGGAGTCGTTGGATGGCTTTTTAGCGAATGGCGAGGGGGTTAAGCAAGTTGACAGGTGTCCTTGGATAGACTAGAGACACGTTTAACAATTAAACAAGCATTTATTGAATAACTAAGGCTAAATTTACAGGAGGATATATCTGTTAAAGCAGTGCCGGCCCGAGGCAAGTTTTAAAATGGAGCGAGATCCTATTATGGCGCTTCCTTGGTTGCCCTTAATTTATACCCGTTAATTTTCTTTACCACTGAGGCGTCCCATAGCACTTAGATCCTGGAGTGGATGCTCCGTTCGCTCTATAGTAGGGCAGGCTCTGTGTTAAAGACTAAATGCGGTTAAAATGACGATTGCAAGATAGACTATTTACAACTGGGCTAAACGGCCTACTATGTCTATTTCTGCTGACAGAGAGTTCACAGATGGCTACGAAATGCCTCTATAGGTTGATTGAACGCTATATGTGACGATCAGATTCTGTATGGAAGTTCGAAGCCGCTATGTTTTCTGACCGGGGTCTTCTCCTTCATCTAAGTCGGTGAAGGTCCGGGAAACTAGGATGGCACATTCAACAAGTATAACTTCTTTTGGATTGCCCTGAACTTCCCAGGCTCGAACTTTTATTCACTTGTCAAGGCAAAGAGGTCATGTGATCGTTCATGTTGACGATGACACTGCATTTTCTGATACCTATTTGTCAACATTCCCATCTGATTGCAGATAATCGGGGTGACCTCAGATCCGAAACTATTCGATATTTTTTCTATCAGTGAATGTTTACAATCTTCCCAAAAAAATTCTCGTTACATTTTGCATTACGTATACTGAAATTCGCGGACTTCACACGTATATTACTTATCAGTATATACTGTATATTTAAAAAAAGAAAAGAGACATATTTAAATGTCATGTATTTAACAGTGGTATGCCATCATTGGAAGTGGTGGATGTGACGCTGACCTTGCATTTTCTAAAAAATAAATACATATTAATTTTAATTATATGAGAATAATCGCACAATATTTTATTATAACTGCATTATGTATCTTATTACAAATTTCTATACTACACGTGAAAAAAAAATAAGATTGCTATTATATATTCGAATATTAGTGGTGGAGTGGAAGCGCTGTATTATCAGCATCCAAAAAGCCGGATTCACGCACGCGCTCTACAGAGCACTAACCTCACCTGGTTTAGCCGGTGAAAGCCTAGGACCTCAGGTGGATGCTACACGTATACCGCATCCAATTTTATCCGGGACCGATTCCGGGCTGTTAGCCACCTGCCCGCTAGATATTACGATTTCGTATGACCCATCTTTAAGGGGATGTAGAAAAAAACATCTACAATTCTTGTATAAAGTTAAAAATTAACTGTTACTTTGGCAGCATCATTTACAACTAAATTTAATGAATGAGAGAGATGCACAAGGTACAGAAAAATCTCTAGAATTTGTTTTCCTTAAATTTACGATTTATGTATCCGTTGTCATAAAAATTTGTCTTTCCACGTTTTTCCCGAGACTACAAATATTCGAGTACAAAGTAACCGGTTTCGACTTATTTCTACTTAAGAAGTAGTTAAATAATTAAGAGATTAGGGAATTGGGGACATAAACAAAACCCTAATGAAAGATCCGAAATTTGTCTTGAACAAAAGCTTAACCGACCCAATCTCTAGCCAAGTACAGAATGTAGCGATTCAAAATGTAATTGCGATATTGAGAATTTATTTTATAAAAGTTTTGGCTCGAGATCATATAATGAAAAAGAAAACAATATTAAAAGAAAAAGGCCAATGCCTAATTTAATTATAAACACTTGAATAAAAAAATTTCTTCGACATTTTCACGATAAAATGGCTCCGTAAATGCAAAGAAGCATAAATTGTTTTGTTGGCGTGCCTATTTCCAAATAAAATTAGTGTGGAATAAGAATGGCTTTGACAATTTAGCTAACAAAAAACACGAAAAATAGACAATTCTTTCGTATTTGAAGCAATTTGGAAATCAAAGCGGAATAGAATTTAACATTGGTAAATAATATAAAATAAATATTGAACATTATAACGAGATAGTTACGGCTAATAGATTTATTTAATTAATAGATGTTATATATTTTTATCAAAGCGAGAATCGCCATTTAGAGGGCATAGGGAATCTATTGAATCTAATAACAGAGGTAATTATATTGAACTTCTTTATTTATTAATTACGTCAGATAAATAATCTATTAAAAATACATTTAAAGAATTAACTGCTTGCCCCTGGAAGTCGGCTTCTTACAGAAACCCAGCTTCCCTCTCAACAAATGTAGAATAGATACAGGCACACAATATTTTTGCTTAATTTTCATATAACTTGTGCGTAAAATTTAACTTATTATTCTAAATTCATTTACAATATTTTGAATTCATTAACTTCATTTCAATACTATAATTATGTTTTAAATAGTTATATAGTACATAGAGTATGTACTGTAGGTGTATATACTTGCAAAACATGATTTTAAACACGTGAATATACGAATGTTTGTAATGATTGTCATATTTAACGCGTTAACATTTATGGTTCTTAATTATTATAAAATTTTATCCAAATCGATTTAATTCAACTTAACAAAATATTTTAATTTTACAGAAAGTATTGGAGAAAGTGACTATCACAATGAAGAAAATGAAGACTGTTTTATGAAGTTCTTCAGAGATACATTTTCAGCTGTTATTTTTCATCCTGTATCACGGTTACTTATTATTATATTGTATATTATATTATTGTCAATTGGGGTATGGGGTGTTATGTCCTTACAGGAGGGGCTGAATGTTTACAAATTCAATTCAGAAACCTCTGAAATTACACAGGGATTTCATGTTTTCTATAAATATTTTACAGAATACCCTTTTATAGTGCACGTCGTAATTAAAGAAACTTTAGATTATTCTAATCCACAAGTTCAAGAGTCAGTTGAAAATTTTATGCAAAAATTTCATACTATTGAAAATATAGCCGGACACGAGTACGAATTTTCTTGGTTAAAATATTATAAAATATTTCAAAATCA